ATAGGGGGATAAGTCTGTTGAGTATACCTGGTAAAGTGTATGGTGGAGTTATTATTGAAAGAATTAAGAGTAAGACGGAGAATAGGATAGCAGATGAACAAGGAGGCTTTAGGAAAGGTACGGGGTGTGTGGACCAGGTGTTTACAGTGAAACATATAAGTGAACAGTATTTAGGTAAGGCTAAATAGGTCTTCGTGGCATTTATGGATTTGGAAAAGGCGGATGATAGGGTGGATAGGGGGGCAATGTGGCAGATGTTGCAGGTGAATGCTGTAGGAGGTAGGTTACTGAAAGCAGTGAAGAGTTTTTACGAGGATAGTGAGGTTCAAGTTAGAGTATGTAGGAAAGAGGGAAATTATTTCCCAGTAAAAGTAGGCCTTAGACAAGGATGTGTGATGTCACCGTGGTTGTTTAATATATTTATAGATGGGATTGTAAGAGAAGTAAATGCGAGGGTCTTGGCAAGAGGCGTGGAGTTAAAAGATAAAGAATCACACATAAAGTGGGAGTTGTCACAGTTGCTCTTTGCTGATGACACTGTGCTCTTGTGAGATTCTGAAGAGAAGTTGCAGAGATTGGTGGATGAATTTGGTAGGGTGTGCAAAAGAAGAAATTAAAAGTGAATACAGGAAAGAGTAAGGTTATGAGGATAACAAAAAGATTAGGCGATGAAAGATTGGATATCAGATTGGAGGGAGAGAGTATGGAGGAGGTGAATGTATTCAGATATTTGGGAGTGGACATGTCAGCAGATGGGTCTGTGAAAGATGAGGTGAATCATAGAATTGATGAGGGGATAAGGGTGAGCGGTGCACTTAGGAGTCTGTGGAGACAAAGAACTTTGTCCTTGGAGGCAAAGAGGGAAATGTATGAGAATATAGTTTTACCAACGCTCTTATATAGGTGTGAAGCATGGGTGATGAATGTTGCAGCGAGGAGAAGGTTGGAGGCAGTGGAGATGTCATGTCTGTGGGGAATGTGTGGTGTGAATATAATGCAGAGAATTCGTAGTTTGGAAGTTAAGAGGAGGTGCGGGATTACCAATAATGTTGTCCAGAGGGCTGAGGAAGGGTTGTTGAGGTGGTTCGGACATGTAGAGAGAATGGAGCGAAACAGAGTGACTTCAAGAGTGTATCAGTCCGTAGTGGAAGGAAGGCGGGGTAGGGGTCGGCCTAGGATAGGTTGGAGGGAGGGGTAAAGGAGGTTTTGTGTGCGAGGGGCTTGGATAGGAGTGAATGGAGACAAATGGTTTTTAATACTTGACGTGCTGTTGGAGTGTGAGCAAAGTAACATTTATGAAGGGGTTCAGGGAAACCGGCAGGCCGGACTTGAGTCCTGGAGATGGGAAGTACAGTGCCTGCACTCTGAAGGAGGGGTGTTAATGTTGCAGTTTAAAAACTGGTATAAACCTTGGTAATAAATACCGACAAGTTGGTTTAGAAAGACACGTAAGCAAACACTATGACATATTTATTAAATTATTGCATACACAAATTTTCACTTGTCCTATATGGCAAGATGAACGTTGATATTTAAGCCAAGATCGAAAGTTCTGTCTATTCGGCACGACATTATATATATAATATATATATTATATATATATATATATATATATATATATATATATATATATATATATATATATATATATATATATATATGCAAGGAATTCGCATGAGCAGGCGAATTCCTTGCATTGTTAAAATCTCTAGTAAGGCTGATGCATGCAGGGGATGAAATGAGATGAAAGCTGTAAGCCTTCTACCTGAAAGCTGGCTGCCTTGGATCAAAGTATAGCGCAAGCTGGACTCCAAGGTATTGGTCCAGTGTGAGTAGATTGGTAAAGCACTGCGTACCTTGTTCCAAGGTTCGTAGGTTCGAGTCTCCTTCAGCCAGAGATCAGCGTTTGTGTATATTTCGCCTATTCATGCGAATTCCTTGCATTGTTAAAATCTCTAGTAAGGCTGATGCATGAAGGGGATGAGATGAAAGCTGTAAGCCTTCTCCCTGAAAGCTGGCTGCCTTGGATCAAAGTCTAGCACAAGCTGGACTCCAAGGTATTGGTCCAGTGTGGGTAGATTGGTAAAGCACTGCGTACCTTGTTCCAAGGTTCGTAGGTTCGAGCCTCCTTCATCTAGAGAACAGTGTTTGTGTATATTTCGCCTGCTCATGCGAATTCCTTGCATTGTTAAAATCTCTAGTAAGGCTGATACATGCAGGGGATGAGATGAAAAGCTGTAAGCCTTCTCCCTGAAAGCTGGCTGCCTTGGATCAAAGTCTAGCACAAGCTGGACTCCAAGGTATTGGTCCAGTGTGGGTAGATTGGTAAAGCACTGCGTACCTTGTTCCGAGGTTCGTAGGTTCTAGTCTCCTTCAGCCAGAAATAAGTGTTTGTATATATATATATATATATATATATATATATATATATATATATATATATATATGTGTGTGTGTGTGTGTGTGTGTGTGTGTGTGTGTGGTGTGTGTGTGTGTGTGTGTGTGTGTGTGTGTGTGTGTGTGTGTGTGTGTGTGTGTGTGTGTGTGTGTGTGTGTGTCGTGCCGAATAGGCAGAACTTGCCATCTTGGCTTAAATAGCAACGTTCATCTTGCCATATAGGACAAGCGAAAATTTGTGTATGCAATAATTTCGCCATAATCATTCTGAACCTAACGTAAAAAATATATTTCACTGTGTTTGTTTAGTATTAAATTATTGTAAACAAATCTAAAATATATTTAGTTGGGTTAGGCTAAAATAAGTTGTTCTTGTTATAATAAGGTTAGGTAAGTTTTCTAAGATTCTTTTTTTGCAAAATTATAAATTTTTACATTAACATTAATGAAAAAAATGTATCTTTAAACGTATAAGAGAAATTTTTAGAAAGGACTTAATTTTAAATGAGTTCTTGCTAATTGACCAGTTTTACATATTCGGCACGACATATCTATATATATATATATATATATATATATATATATATATATATATATATATATATATATATATATATATATATATATATATATATATATATATATATATATATATGTATATGTCGTGCCGAATAGGCAGAACTTGCGATCTTGGCTTGAATAGCAACGCTTATCTTGCCATATAGGACAAGTGAAAATTTGTGTATGCAATAATTTCGCCAAAATCATTCTGAACCTAACGAAAAAAATAAATTTCACTGTGTTTGTTTAGTATTAAATTACTGTAAACAAATCTAAAATATATTTAGCTGAGTTAGGCTAAAATAAATTGTTCTTGTTTTAATAAGGTTAGGTAAGTTTTCTAAAATTCTTTTGGTGCAAAATTAATTTTTTTTACATTAACATTAATGAAAAAAATATATCTTTAAACGTATAAGAGAAAATTTTAGAACGGACTTAATTTTAAATGAGTTCTTACTAACTGACCAATTTTACATATTCGGCACGACATATATATATATATATAATATATTATATATATATATATATTATATATATATATATATATATATATATATATAAAAATTATATATATATTATAATATATTAATGTAGGGAGGTACCACTAGAACTGTTATAGGGACCCTCATCCTCAGAGAAAAGAATAAACTTGCTTCAGGGAAAATTCTAGGGAATTTTCTCCCAGCGTCGTTCACGACGCTCTAACCCACTGGACCATACAATCCTACAAGAATCACGCACCCAGCAGAGCTAGGTGCGTGATCCGAGGATATACGATGGTGTATGTGCCTCAGAGCTTATTTCATTCTCCTCCCCGTTTGGTGTACTAGCCTCCACAAGCAGTATATATAGCATTGTAACCACGAACGAGTGATATTTATGGAATTATATGTTGAACGAATCACCAATATTCTGCTAAGCATAATTAAATAAACTTAAGCTTCACACTTTCACTCAAGCCGTCCAAAATCATTATGACTCGCATCAGGAGATATAACTGATGTATGACGATTACAGGTCTCTCATTATAACACTTTCCTTTCAATATATTTGGTCATCTTTTAAAATAATATTTATGGTCTCATAATTTTGGATATCATATCCAAACGGTAATTAATTCATGTTTGCATTCCTACAGTAAGGTTTGTATTGATGCACAGAAAGAACCGACTATTAATTTTGTCAGTCACCATCATCGTTACAAGCTACGTTCATTTATTCATGAAATTAGGCTTTTCTTCTCTGTTTAGTAAGTCTGAGTTGCCTGATGTCACTGATACACCGCAGAGAGTCGGGGAACCTTTCTTCCCCAACTGTACATTTATCCACTCAAGAACAAACCTATAAACCCATAATGCTCTGCATACAAGGGGCTTTTGGCATGTACACCCAACTACTATAATTCCTTGTACAACTATGTATCATGCCCAAATAAACTATATGAATATGAATAGAGTCAAACACTCACGTTTTTACCATAACACAGACGAATTCTCAGAGAAAGTACGCGCAGAAAATCATAACAGACAACATATGTGAACATAAAACACTTACAGGAAGCAAGCATGCACAAAAACACTCGCATACAACATAAAATGTGTGCATGTAAACCACTCAGACAAAAAAGGTGTATGGAAAGCACTCACAGACACCATACGACAACATAGAGCCCTCACAGAAAATACAGAAACACGTAAAGCACACATACACAAAATATATTTCCATAAAACATTCGCCGACATCATGCACACAAAACATAGACATACATACACACAACGCACTCATAAAAAAAATTCGTGCACACAATGGAATCACAAGCAGCATACGTGCGTACTAAGCTCTTGGAGACAGCTTACATGTACACAAAATATTCAGTCAAAAAATGTTACATGGAAAGCAATTTCAATGAGAGTAAAAGGTGCACGTAAAGTACTTTTAATGACAACAAAAAACTTTCATTGACAACTTACGTACACGATAAATATTCACAAATAACATACGAAGAAAACTATACTGTTCTTCGATAATGAAATCGGTGTTACCTGAGAGGTGAAATAGAGATGGATGGAGTGCCAATCTCCATCGTGAAGTGTTGTGTTGATCCTGAGCCTAAGTGAACCTCCTCTTCCTTCTACCAGCAGTTGCGGGAGCCCATTGACGATCTGCAGAGCGATCATGGGTGTCGGCGTGGCGTGTTGGCGTTGAGACGCCGGCGCCAGTGGTCCGGAATAGAGGATGAGGGCGTTCGGGCGTTGTGTGAGGAGGCGGATTGATAGGGTGGTGGGGAGGCAAAGTGGGAGAGGATCAACCCACACCCACCCAGATCCTGAGAAGGTTCTCGCCAGCACTTTACACCGTGAACCCCAAGACGCGCCAGGGCACACACACCTGAAGTGAAACTCTATGTACGATATATGTCAAATTTATCATATAATCACAGTTACAGCTTGGTGCATAGACATGATTATGTAAAAGAATTGGAGAATTTGTGGAGAAGTGCAAGGAGACTGGGAAGAGAAATTTATAGAAACGAGCAGGATGACTCAAGAAATCGTAATGACACGGGGGTATGGTTTGAGCAGGATGACCTTAGTGGATCAAAGAGCTATAAGAGATATGTTTACTAAATACACAATACTTAAAGGACTTGACAGGGCAGACAGGGTCAGAAAGTTTCACAGACAGAAACTGGAGACACTGGAGCATATTTCTGTAGACCTCGCCTTCTGCGGTCGCAGAAGCTGTGACTCATCTTTACAGTCACCCTACGCTCCACTTTGGGGAAGGGAATTTCTGTTCTTTAGTCATCGCCTTTACTCTTTCACGTTGCTTGCTCATTGTGTAAAGATTAAGCCGTCCAGTGGAGCTATCAGTGACTACCAAACTTGCCCTAGCTGCCTCTGTAAAGACCTGCTTGCAGGTAAAATTTACAGCTATCCACTCTTTGAAAGACTCCTTCATTGTCGTCTGTACTGACGATAATGAAGCTTCTTCATCGCAGTGAAGACACTCAGTGACCGACAATTCAGCGTCTCTCTTTCACATTTCCTGCTGGCAAAGCGTTCTGTTTTTGTGAAGCGGTTGAACAAGATGATCACTTCCCTATCAACTGCTGACCTGAAGACCTCTATCGAGGAACAAAGCACTTGGGCCTTGATTGACAACATTACCAAAATTCCAAACGCTTCTTCAATGGTCAAACTCACCTTCTGCAACATCGATATGGCTACCAAAGCGCTTTCTGATGGCCTAGTCATCTCCTAGTACCATATTCATCCATGGTACATCGAGCAGAACGTTTTCACTCATGCCTCACCCTGCTGGAACTGTTATTCTTACCACCACTCGATGACTGACTGTCCCATTAAAAAGAAGAAATTCTGTCCCAGCTGCGGAAAGGACGGTCATAATTTGAAAGCATGTCCCACCACCAATGCCACTCCAACCTGCCTCAACTGCGAGGCAGCCAAATGCCCACTACAGAAGGAGGTGCTTTCTAAGAAGATCAAAGAAGAAGCTAAGAAGAGCAGCCCCAAACCGCCGCCATATGCAGCCATAACAAGACTGCAGTCTGATACCAAGAAAATTCTTCAAGCTACACAATAGCTACACAAGCTACACTTCAGGACGCGGCTCCCTCCAAGGGAGCCGCGTATGCGCACCTTGCGACTGCAGCCAACCCAGGCACGTTCAGCACCACCATTAACGAACTATTCCGACTTAACAACATGCCAGCCTTCGTCTTCCCAGACTCTACATCTTCAGCTGACGTCATCCGGATTCTTCCTAACGTCGTTAACATCACTACTCCTGCTGACCTATCTTCTTCTACCCAAGCAACTGCTCCTGCACCTTCCACAACCAGCGACGCCACCGCTCTTGCTGCCCCGACCACCGCCTCCCACCCTGCTGTTCCACCAACATTACACCTCTCCACTAAAGTCGACCAATCAACAAGTTCACTTGAACCACCAGAAGCCTCCACCGCCATTACTCGAGACCAATCAGAAGCCACACCCCATCCACTCCAACAAGAAGAACAATCAGAAGAAATGAAGGAGGACAAAAAAGTTGAACCTCCTCCATACCTTAGATGGACTGACATAACATTCTATTTCTCCTTGCCAAAAAATGTACCATCACCGAATTTCTGGCCATTGTAAACGTAGAATTACAAAACAAGCAAAGCAAGATACATATTCTACACATCTCAAAATCTAGGTACAAAAGCCTAAAGAACGGCTCATCTACCACCGACCAGAAATAAAATCTCCTTGACCAATCACCATGAAGCTGATACCTTTGAATCCATCGACCAATCCCCTTGAAACTGCTGCCTTACTCCACCTCCAACTGATCATCCTGCCTTTCTGGTGCCCTCTCGTCACCAAGATCTCCAAACTCAAGAACTAAGCATGCATCCAGCACTCAGCAGATGCTTCTTCTGCTCTTTCCTCGCTTTTATATGTTTTACAATACCTAACTGCTGGGTCTTGCCCCGGCTCATTTTCTACGACTTCGGGCGTTCCTCTCACCTGTCATTCTTCGTCTGTCCCCACTTCGCCGCTCACCCACTTGTGGGTCTTACCTGAGATTCTGATTGATTGATTGATTGATTGATTGAAGCATATCAGGACTATAATGACGCAAATGATTCAGGAAGAGTAATGACCTAGACTAAGAAATTCTGGAAGCACTCTTTATACATAAGTTTAAATGTACAGTAGTTGAGACTAGACAAATGAGACATGGAATTAGTTTAATCCCCATAACTACTCGATGTTCATAAAAAAAAAGTTGGTTACTACACACAGGTCGAGCGTTGCAACCTAGGGCAAGTAGTGCGTGCACTAGGCAGTTTTTTAAGGAAAAAAGAATCATAATGCTGACCAAGGATAAAGAGACAGGACAAAATATGGACAAAACTCAAACATAAGAGACAATTTTCTTCCACGTAAAGCAAATGGAGATTGAGGGGAAACACAGAAGAGGAAATAACTTGCTATTTTAAGTAGATAAAATCTTTCCGATTCGAGTGATTCTCTCAAAGGCGAATATGCAGAATGAAATATTTATACCAAAAATAAGCAGAAGGGAATTAACACTTTTCATAAATGGCAAAAGATCAAGGTGGCTGCCAAGATAATCAGCATATAATGGTTTTAGTTACATCTTCATTGTTTTATATGATCGTAAGATAGTATAAACACTTAAGTTTATATTTTCATTTTTGGTTTTGCGAATTCAGCAGGAAGCTGTAGAATGATCAAGCATGAACTGTAGCACTCTCCATTAACAACTTATCAGATGTATTCATGCAGTGAATTATCAATAATAATAAGATAAACGAGTAGTGAACTAGAAAACTCTATATGCCTTGTATAAATATTATGTTACAATTATGTTACGTTAGAAAAGATATATAGTATATAATAATATATAAATATTACGTGTTAGTTTGACTGCCACGCGCAGAATAAGTTCAGAGAGTTATGAGGTGCAATGCAAAGAGTTACATCACACTATATTGACTAGCAGGAAAAATGTACAGTGATCCCTATTATGATGCATATGTGACACTTGGGGATTTTTCTTGCTGAAACGTTTCGTCTCCACCAAAGACTTCTTCAGCTGAATACAGGCGAATACTAACGACAATAGAGGTAGTGTTAACGTGATCAGCACATCACCCTTGGTAGGTGCTCACTCCCTCAAGCATAAAGCATAAGCATGCTTTATGCAGAAGTGATGTGAAGCAGCTAGAATTAGCGTTGCAGCTGAGCCTGGCCTACTAGATAGAACAAGGACAAGCTAAACAATCAGAGTTGTAGAAACTAATGATTCTGATGGTGGGGATTTATCATATGTGGTTAATAAAATTATGTCCGGAGTCAACTCACTGCGAGATCTAAATGACTAATGCCCTAGAACAATTCACTACAGCAAGACAATGTCAAATACTAGTGACACTTTCCTCGTATTAGGGCAAAATCATAATGCAATCACTGGTCTTGTGTCAGGCCACTCACCAGCATATTACAACGACAACCATGCTAGTTCGGGGATTGCATAGCAATTACCTCACAGATTCGGATGAAAGGCGTAAGTCACTTCAGTGAATGATTATGGCATCACTTGTGGAAAATACTGTATATATTTTCCAGAAATTCAGTATTTATATGTAAATAGATGGCCATACTGTATTTAATAATATTTATGTCATAGAAAACGGAAAGCCTGCGTCTGCGCAGACGAGACTCGCCATCTTGGTTTTGAATTGTGTACAACGTTGGTGTGATGGGAAGGAATTTTCGTGCTCTAGAGGTTGAAACTGGGCTGACACCTCTCAAATAGGAGGCGAAATTGTTGGACATGCATTCCTGCATAACTTGAGATATCAGACGATTGGACAAGACAGCTCCAGGAACCTCAGATAGGCTCTCTAGATTTGTGTATAATTCTGGCAAGTGTTTTCATAAATTTAGTTAGTGAGGTTTTTCTGAGTATGATACAACTTAATATCCAGTCAAATTGGTGAGTGATATTAAGATATATTTTCCTTCTGTTATGTAATTGTGGTTATATATAATCATTTTTTAATATACAGTCTACAAATTTATATATTTACCAGAATTCCTGATGTATAATTCATTTAATTAATAGGTCCAGAGCAACTTGTGGTTATGACAGTGGTAGGTATCGAAGGGGGACATTTTTTGCGACCTAGGTGTCCCAGATTCCTACTTGTCTATGTAACATTGATAAATAATAATTATCTTTGTTATCATTTACTGTTATGTACATAATTAGTTACATTCAGATAAATGCAATTTTCCACATCACTGTTACTTTTGAGAAATTTGTTGGCTTTCAAACATATGCTGCTATACATTACATTATGTTACATGTAGTTCAGCCCAAACAGTAACAACGGATGGTGCTGCAGTACTAGGGTGGTTTGATAACTATGGAGAGAGACTTACGCCATGGCAGTTTAGTTTACCCAACATCCTGAGAAACTGATTGAGGGTGTTAATCCTTAATATACATTAAATAATGTTGAGACTGAAGCCTTACATAATATACTTCCGAGGCTAGAAAAATTCTCACATTAAGTCCTCTTATATAAAGGAATTAGAGGTATTAGAGTATTACGCTAGCCCAAAGAAAGCCTCCTCACTCTGATTATAATGTATAATTATAGATTAGGGTGGTCAGCTATAAAACAATGCTTGCCAAAAGAAAAAGAATTTCAAATGCTCTCTATATATTTTGAAGAACTTTGTTCTATTGCAATTCCAGGTAGTTCGGCTTCAATTCCTCCACAGGAATCTGAATAAAATAAAAAAAAGGCTCGCTCTGGCAGAGTCCCGTTGCGACCTACAAAATATGCATGATACCCGTTCACTCACTACTTTTTCACTGGAATACAATTCAGTTACAGATGGCGTCCTGAGAGAAGTATAATAAAAACCTGTGTATGTGATAACTAAATGTGACATTAAACATACAACTCTTGTCTTTGTTTGAATATGCATGGCATTACCTGCTTCCACTGGGATAGGCTACACACCTCCCACCGTTAAGGCAGGAAGTGGGTGTGCAGGTCTCCGGCTCATGTGTGTGACAAACGGGAGACTGTGTCAGCCGTGGTGTCACTAGAGAGGTCGAGTTGGTGTCCACAACCTGATTGGATGAGAACTCAAGCTTTAAGTCAAGAATGGGATGTGTTTCAAATCATCATCATGTTGAGCTCAAACTCAACCACGAAGATACGCACACACACACATTCTCTCTCTCTTTCTCTCTCTCTCTCTCTCTCTCTCTCTCTCTCTCTCTCTCTCTCTCTCTCTCTCTCTCTCTATATATATATATATATATATATATATATATATATATATATATATATCGTGCCGAATATGTAAAACTGCGATCTCGGCTTAAATAGCAACGCTCATCTTGCCTAATAAGACAAGCGAAAATTTGTGTATGCATTAATTTCGCAAAAATCATTCTGAACCTAACGAGAAAAATATATTTCATTGTTTTTGCTTAGTATTAAATTATTGTAAACGTATCTAAAATATATTTAGTTGGATTAGGCTAAAATAAATTGCTCTTTTTATAATAAGGTTAGGTAAGTTTTCTAAGATTCTTTTGGTGCAAAATTATAAATTTTTACATTAACATTAATGAAAAAGTTATATCTTTAAACGAATGAGAGAAAATTTTAGAAAGGACTTAATTTTTAATGAGTTCTTACTAACTGACCAGTTTTAAATATTCGGCACCACATTCGCAGAACAGGCGAATAATATGAGTCCAAAGAACAAGAAGACTAGTTCAGGGAAACGTTCTAGCTTGAAAGAGGTAGGGAGGTAGGAGACACCAGGCGGACCACTTGCCTGTCAGACCAGTTATCCCAGGCAGACTAGTGCCAAGTGCCAGAAAAATACAGTATTAAAGGATTAGAAGACAACCAGCCTCCAAACACTGATAATGTACTAATGACCTAGTGAACATAAGAATTATAAAAATTCGGTCAGACTTCGATACCATATAAATAACTTTAAATTCTGAATATAGATATGTCTGGAAATTATTTAAGGAAAAATCTGTAATATTAAGGAAATGGGTTTATGGCCAACACATTTAATTCAAAAGGGAGACATCTATGGTTTATGAAGAGGTACACGTCTATAGTTTGTCTATCCCACCCAACTCTTGAGCAGATGCTGGTCTAATACAGGCCCTATTTCTTCAATGTGGATTTATGCCATTAAGACAATGCAAAGCATTCATATAGTAATCCAGCTTTAAGTTATGTATGGTAGTGTGAATTATAATGAATTGAGTTTGAGTATTTTGAAACTATTATAATGAACATTTATCATGTTTTGTAAATGTCAATTCTGAAACATTTCTTTCCAGCCATGAGGTACAAGGAACTAGGACTCTGGCTTATGACCAATTTGTGGGAGTGTTGCAAACTCAGGTGTGGTTGAATATCGCACTTGATTCCTGAGCTGTTCATGCCGAATGATGGTGATGTGTTATCCTAACATCTAGAGGTTTGCCAGTCTGTTCCAATTACAAATAAGTTGTAGCCATTGTACCCACTACTGCATACAAAGCAAACACAGAGTTTAAGTGAATTTTTGAGCAAATTAATCTTGAGCATTCAAGATCTGTTAAAAATTACTTGTATGTGTTTTTAAGGCATTCAGTCTGTCAGATAAATTCTCATTGAATTAAAGAACCAGCACATTCTTGATCTGAGGAGCTATTCTAGGTTCAGTCATATTCTAAATTTTCCTAGCTGCCAGGAAAACGGTTTCTACAAACTCCTTAGGGTAATGTAGTTTCGTAGCAAAATCTAAGATTTACCTAATTAATTCATTAAGAAACTTTGGGCTACAAATTAGGTAAGTTCACAGAAACAGTGAGAAAGACACTTGTTTCATGGTTAGAGTAGTCCATTTAATTCACCCTTGAGAAAGAAGTGGACTTATAACTTCCATTCTTAGATGCTCAGATCCACCGGGTTGATAGAATGTTTAAGTATATAGGAGGTCCACTAATGTGTGTTCATATATTCATTATTATTCCAACATGAAACAATAGTAAAAAAGAGTGTCTTTCTCGCTATGTTTCTGAGAGCTTACCGAGTGTGCAGCCCACTTTCATGGTGAGGAAATTAAGAAACTCTCCGATACTGCTACAAAACTTTGTTACCATAAGGAGTTTGTAGAAACGGCTTTGCTGGCATGTAGGACAACATATCATAGAACTGAACCTAGAATAATTCCACAGATCAAGAATGTGCTGGTTCTTCCATACAATGAGAATTTATGTCCTGCTGAATGTTCTAAAAATTTTCAAAATACAAGTAGTTTGTAAGAATTCATGGATGGTCAGGATTACCTTGATCAAGAGGTGTTTACAGGATTGGGTGCAATAGCTGCAATTTATCTTATGTAGGATGGACTGACAAACTTCTGGATGTTAGGTTGATACAACATTGGTATTCAATATGAAGAGTTCAGGAATCAAATGTGATATTCAACCATACCTAAATTTGCAACAATCCCGCAAATTGGTCGGAAGCCAGAGTCCTAGTTTCTTGTACTTCATGGCTGGAAAAAAACATTTTAGAATCAGCAATTAGAAAACATGATAAACATTCATTATAATAATAGATTCGGATTATTCAAACTCGTTTATAACCGAGACCATCGTGTATAACCTAAAGCTGGACTACTATATGAATGCTTTGGACTGTCTTAAGTGTCATATTTCGACAACAAGGAATGAAGGCACGTTTTCCTGCCTTCTTGCATTAGAACAGCGTCTGTACAAGCGTTGGGTGGGACAGATAAACTATAGACGTCTCCCTCTTGGTAAAACATAGATGTCTCCCTTTTGTTTTAAATGAGCCAGCCGTAGAACAGTTTCCTTAATATTACTGAATCTTCCTGAGACAATATCCAGATATATCTATACTCAGAGTTTCAAGTCTTTTATATTGTATTGATGTCACGCCGACATTTTGATAATTGTCATGACACTAATGTTATGTTTGGTAGGTCATTGCTACATTGTCAGAACTTTTGGACAGGCTGTTTTCTGTTGTTTTAATACTCTATCATTCTGTCACTTGACACTGGTCTGGATGAGGCAACTGGTCTACCTGGCGCCTCCTACCTCCCTACCTCATTCGAACTAGAAGATTTCCCTGAACAAATTTGCTTGGACTTCCTATTCATTTCTGCAACATTGCAAGCTCTCACTGACGTATTTAATGCACCACAAAAGACCTGTTGTTTTGCATCTTGTATCACTTGTTGGCGATTATTGCATATATATATATTTATGTCGTGCCATTTAAGTTCAGCAGGTGAGTAAGGTCTATTTGGCAAGTCAGTTATCTGTCAAATAGCCAGAATGAAAGGCTGTATCAGCTATAACTCTGCCAAATTCAATCTTAGCATAATGAAAACAATTTAGTATATATCATTTATTTTCAGTAATATTAAAAGAATTTAAAGTGGCCTATGGTACACATAGCAGAAGTTAGGTGAATTCAATTTTCTAGCTCAAATGAGGTTAGAGGAGGTTTTCAAGTTAGTTTTCATAGAAAAATAGAAATCTTTAAGTTATTTTCAATGGAAAAATAGCAATCATTCTGATTTTTTCTTTTGAAAATGTTTAATTTTTAAGGGAGTTCGGCCTTTTCAGCAAATTCAGCTTATTAGGTACTACATAGGGGTCGAGAAGTAGCTCCTGCAGCAGTTTCTGGTAGTGATACCTGGTAGTGATGTCTGGTAGTGATGCCTGGTAGTGATGCCTGGTAGTGATGTCTGGTAGTGATGCCTGGTAGTGATGTCTGGCAGCGTTGGGGCCTTGGGTACCGTCTTGAGGTGTCGTACCTCAGTTAATCCTCTCTCACTCGTGTTCTTTTAACTAGCATCACTACTGTCACTTACCACACTACCAAGATATATTCATTATTCTTTAGATATTCACACTTCTTCCTTATTTTATGGGCACACACTTATTACCTGCAACATCAGCAATGCCCGAGGATGATGATGAAATGTGTGCTCACCTAACTGTGGTTGAAGGGGTCAAGTCACAGCTCCTGGCTCCGTCTCTTCAGTGGTCCTCTCTCTCCCTGATCCATGAGCTTCATCATACCTCATCTTAAAACGATGGATCCTGCTTCCACTACGTCACTTCCCAGGCTATTCCACTTCCTCACAACTCTACGGCTAAATAAATACTTCCTTCCTTTGACTAATCTGAGACTTCAACTTCCAACTGTGACCCATTGTTGCTGTGTCCCATCTCTGAAACATCCTGTCTTTGTCCACCTTGTCAATTTCTTGCAGCATTTTTTATGTCGTTATCATGTGACCCCTATCCTTCCTGTCCTCTAGTGTCGTCAGGTCGATTTCCCTGAAACTTTGCACTTTCTCTAATTTCTTGACGTGCTTCACCCGGTGTGGGTTGCAAACTGGGGTTGCATACTTCCAATATGGGCCTGATCTACACGGTGTACAGAGTCTTGAACAATTCCTTACTGAGGTATCGGAATGCTATTCTTAGGTTTGCCAGGCGCCCATATGCTGCAGCAGTTATCTGGTTAATATGCGCCTCATAGGGTTAAATTCCAGGATCCAGTTGTGGGACTAGGCTGGCAGCCTGTCCAGGTCCATTTGTCGTCCTGTCTGATACTCATCCGATTTAATTCTCCTCATTAACTTCACATCATCTGCAAACAGGAACACTTCTGAGTCTGTCCCCTCCGTCATTTCATTCACATATACCAAAAATAACACTGGTCCTAGGACTAACCCCTGTGGAACCCCGCTCGTCACAGGCGCCCACTGTGACACCTCGTCACGTACTATGACTCGTTGTTGTCTCCCTGTCAGGTATTCTCTGATCCATTGCAGTGCCTTTCTTGATATGCGTGCCTGATCCTCTAGATTTTGTACTAATCTCTTGTGTGGAATGGTGTTGAAGGCCTTCTTGCAGTGAAAGAAAATGCTATCTACCCACCCCAGTCGCTCTTGTCTTAGTTCCGTTACCTTATCATAAAACTCCAGTAGGTTTGTGACACAGGATTTTCCTTCCCTAAAACCGTGCTGGTTGCCGTTTATAAGCTTGTTCCTTTCTAGGTGCTCCACCACTTTCCTCCTGATAATCTCCACGACTTTGCATACTATACATGTTGAAGATTGAGACACTTATGCAGCATATGGGAATCTTTATTCAGGAAACGTTTCGCCACACAGTGGCTTCATCAGTCCAATACAAAGAGGAAGGCGTAAGGAGAGGAGGAGAATGAGGTAATCAGTCCCTCAACCTGATTACCTCATTCTCCTCCTCTCCTTACGCCTTCCTCTTTGTATTGGACTGATGAAGCCACTGTGTGGCGAAACGTTTCCTGAATAAAGATTCCCATATGCTGCATAAGTGTCTCAATCTTCAACTTGTCGGTTTTTCAAACCATTCATCACAACTGTCAGACACGGCAGCATCATGGGGTCTTGTTACAAAGAATTCTTCAACACTTGTTCAACCTTTGGACGAAGACCTACTTCGACTAGTGGATGGTACCACTATGACCCCGCCTCCATCTGCTTCACGTCACCTCACTACAGTATATAAGCCACGTCTACGGCCCTATGCTGTACATTCTACAAGATTGATGGACTGAACACATCGACTCCAGGTTGAGGGACTGATTACCTCATTCTCCTCCTCTCCTTACGCCTTCCTCTTTGTATTGGACTGATGAAGCCACTGTGTGGCGAAACGTTTCCTGAATAAAGATTCCCATATGCTGCATAAGTGTCTCAATCTTCAACTTGTCGGTTTTTCAAACCATTCATCACATACTATACATGTCAGTGATATTGGTGTCCAGTCCCGCAGCGTTTGAGGTATCTAGTTCACTTAGCAGTGTCTTCACTTCTTCATCGTTTGTGTGTGTTTCGTCCAGCACTTATTGGTGTGTTCCATGCTGGTGTTCCCTATTATTCCAACTTTCTGGAGTCCTTCCTGTCTCCACTGTAAATACTTCTTAAAATCTCAAGTCGAGCTCCTCACATACTTCTTGGTTGTTTCTGAGAATTCCCCTCCTTCCTTCCTCAGCCTGATTACCTGGTCCTTGACTGTTGTTTTCCTCCTGGTGTGGCTATACAACAGACTTGACTTTCGATGCTATGTCATTTATCGTATTGCCGCTGGGCTGGGCCTCCCTCCTTATGCGTGCATATTCGTTTCTGCCTCTTCGACTAATTTCTTTATTTCCTGGGTCCTTTGTCTTCTGTACTTTTTCCATTATCTAACGCACTTAGTTTTTGCCTCTCTACATCTTTGGGTGAACCAAGGGCTAGTTGTGGTCTCCCCATTATTATGTGTGTGTGTGTGTGTGTGTGTGTTGTGTGTGTGTGTGTGTGTGTGTGTGTGTGTGTGTGTGTGTGTGTGTGTGTGTGTGTGTGTGTGTGTGTGTATGTGTGTGTGTGTGTGTGTGTGTGGTGTGTGCGAGCGCGTGTGTGTACGACATTACCTGGAGAGGGAGTGTAGTGGATGCTCGGGACGCCGCCGAGGAGGGGTCTGGAGCATTGTTGTCATCCTTGGGTGGGGGCGTAGGTCCTATATGCTGCTCCTCATCTTCAATCCAGTTACTATTCAACTCTGCCGCACCTACCAACACTGTCAGGTTGGTCGCTTTCTGCAGCTGCAAATGTCAGTTTGTGATTACAAGAAGGAAAATTACGGGAGTGCGAGAGCAAAAGTGAAATAGATCGATTGACAGATAGATAGATTGATAGATAGATAGATAAAGAGAGAATGAGAGAGAGAGAGAGAGAGAGAGCTGGAAATAAGATTGAAGAAAGAAATTAATTGAACTGATGAAGGTTTTCACTGAGGAATCATACAAGGTTCCAGGATGGGAACGGCGGAAAGGAAGGAGTGAACCACAAAGATCACAGAAAATTCCAGCAATAAACTAGGAAGTGAGAGAGCTAAAAAAATCCCATACAATGAAAGCAGCAAGACTAGATATATTATCATCATGGGTGTTGATAAATGCTAATAATCTGCGAAAACCTTAGGCAAAAATATACATCAAATGAATATGAAACATGGCCCGGTGGCCTGGTGGCTGTGGCCCGGTGGCCTGGTGGCTAAAGCTCCCGCTTCACACACGGAGGGCCCGGGTTCGATTCCCGGCGGGTGGAAACATTTCGACACGTTTCCTTACACTTGTTGTCCTGTTCACCTAGCAGCAAATAGGTACCTGGGTGTTAGTCGACTGGTGTGGGTCGCATCCTGGGGGACAAGATTAAGGACCCCAATGGAAATAAGTTAGACAGTCCTCGATGACGCACTGACTTTCTTGGGTTATCCTGGGTGGCTAACCCTCCGGGGTTAAAAATCCGAACGAAATCTTATCTTATCTCTTATCTAACTACAAGACAGTTTAATAATGGCAAAGTGAAATATCTACACAACTGGACTTAATTTGTATATTCATTATTTAGTGTGCAATTAATATTACATTGTCTTGAAGCCGAGACAATGTAAGAAGCTTACATATAATAAATCACATTTTTTTTTTACCATTTTAGATTTATATTTAATATGCTTATATATTTGGGAAACCTGTCCTCTTAAAAAACAATTCGAAAAATGACAGTCTGCGAACACTCCAAGTATCATCACATACATGAACAGTGTTCATGTATGTGACGATACTTGCAGAGGTCACAGGACCTGTTTGTGACTTCTCTCTTTGGGGGTATGTGAAGAGCACAGTTTACGTACCACCACTATCTGCAACCCTGGAGGAGCTGAAAATTTCAATCTCTGAAGCAGTTCGCATGATAACTCCAGATATGCTGCAGAGCGTCGGGACCGAACTGAACTATCGCAACGATGTTTGCCGAGCAACCAGAGAGGCGCACATTGAGTGCCTTTAATGCTACCCTATACCACATGATACTGAATGATATCCTGCATCTGAAGCTACTGACTGTGAAAGATTATTACAATAAAGTTACATGTTATACCTGTTTGAAATCAGGGAGTGTTTTTGTTGACACCCTGTATATATATATATATATATATATATATATATATATATATATATATATATATATATATATATATATATATATATATATATAATTATATATATAGCAAAACAACCACTGTGAAAGAATAGAGAAATTCCAAGCGCTTTCGTGACTACTCACATTATCAAGGAACAATGAAAGTAGAGCATCAAAGGAAGGTATATAAGAGGTAAACAAAAGATATAAGATTAGGAAAGCTTATCGAGAACATTCTGAAGTGTCGTGTGGTATCCATTAATGCAATAAGATCACAGTAAACAGGTGATTTCAGAATATGCAAAACAACCACTGTGAAAGAATAGAGAAATTCCAAGCGCTTTCTTATATACCTTCCTTTGATGCTCTACTTTCATTGTTCCTTGATAATGTGAGTAGTCACGAAAGCGCTTGGAATTTCTCTATTCCTTCACAGTGGTTGTTTTGCATATTCTGAAATCACCTGTTTACTGTGATCTTATTGCATATATATATATATATATAAAATATATATATATATATATATATATATATATATATATATATATATATATATATATATACACATGTGTGTGTGTGTGTGTGTGTGTCGTGCCGAATATGTAAAACTGGTCAATTAGCAAGAACTCGTTTAAAATTAAGTCCTTTCTAAAATTTTCTCTTATACGTTTAAAGATATATTTTTTTCATAAATGTTGATGTAAAAATTTATAATTTTGCACCAAAAGGAACTTAGAAAACTTACTTAACCTCAATATAACAAGCGCAATTTATTTGATCCTAACCCAACTAAATATATTTTAGATTTGTTTACAGTAATTTAATACTAAACAAACACAGTGAAATATATTTTTATCGTTAGGTTCAGAATGATTTTGGCGAAATTATTGCATACTCAAATTTTCACTTGTCCTATATGACAAGATGAGCGTTGCTGTTTAAGCCAAGATCGCAAGTTCTGCCTATTCGGCACGACATATATAAATATATAAATATATATGTATATATATATATATATATATATATATATATATATATATATAATATAAACACTGATCTCTGGCTGAAGGAGACTCGAACCTACGAACCTTGGAACAAGGTACGCAGTGCTTTACCAATCTACCCACACTGGACAATGCCTTGGAGTCCAGCTTGCGCTAGACTTTCATCCAAGGCAGCCAGCATTCAGGGAGAAGGCTAACAGCTTTTCATCTCATCCCCTGCATGCATCAGCCTTACTGCAGATATTAACAATGCAAGGAATTCGCAAGAGCAGGCGAAATATACACAAACACTGATCTCTGGCTGAAGGAGACTCGAACCTACGAACCTTGGAACAAGGTACGCAGTGCTTTGCCAATCTACCCACACTGGACAATGTCTTGGAGTCCAGCTTGCGCTAGACTTTGATCCAAGGCAGCCAGCTTTCAGGGAGAAGGCTTACAGCTTTTTATCTCATCCCCTGCATGCATTAGCCGTACTAGAGATATTTAAAATGCAAGGAATTCGCAAGAGCAGGCGAAATATACACAAACACTGTTCTCTGGCTGAAGGAGACTCGAGCCTAGTGATTAAATAGATTTACAATAGTAAGGTAGTTCAAAACTTTTAAGAATATTACAATTTCTAAATTTAGTAATGAGAATGGTTTTGTCTTTGCACGATACACAGTTTCTATTAAGACTAGCTTAAGATTTATTAGGCGATAGCTATATTCGGAATTTTGTGTTTACAGTCATTTGGGCGAGTGCAAATGTAAATTATAGGGAATCACATATATCGACAGTAAGCATTTTGTTTTGGATGTGTTCATGATACGAGTAATAGCAGATGTGGTTTTCATGTAGTTAGCTGACCATGGGGGTGTGTTAGGGAGATAAGACGTTTTTTAACCGTAGTTTTGAAAGTGGTGGTTGAGTATGCAGTTCTAGAGTTTTCAGGCAGGGAGTTCCAGATTTTAGGCCCTTTTATGTCCATTGAATTTTTTAATAGATTTAGCCGGACACGAGGAATGTCATAAAGATTTTTGTGTCTGGTATGGTGCCTATGGGTCCTGTCACAATTATCAAGAAAGTGTTTTAGTTCAGGGTTAATATAAGAATTTATGGTTCTGTAAATGTAGGTTGCACAGTAGTAAGTGTGGATGTTCTGTACAGTGAGTAAGTTTACGTCTTTCAAGAGTGGAGGTGCGTGTTGCCTATTATTGGATTGCATGATAATCCTTACTGCGGCTTTTTGTTGGGTTATTACAGTGGGTTGATGTTGTTGATCCCCAAGCACAAGTGGCATATGTGAGGTAGGGATAGATGAGTGAATACTATAGTGTGAGTAGGGCTGATTGTGATACGTAGTAACGTATCATAGAGAGGATCCCATCCGTTTTGGATACTTTTTTTTTGTTATGTGTTGGATATGGGTGCTGAATTTCAGGTTGCTGTCGAGGTGTAGGCCTAGGTATTTTCCCTCATTATGTTAGTTACCATTTTGTTCTAGGCCCATGTCGATTAGACACTACGCCTGTTGTATATGTCTAGCAATAAGAGTGTTGTCGATCTTAATGTTCAGTTGTGCAACACCTGCTCTGTTACCAACCATAATATAGAAGGTTTTGTCAGTGTTAAGTGGAAGTTTATTGGCAGGTTGATATTTTTAGTAGCTCATCGTTAACAACGGTATTGAGTGAGGCAAGATTTGGGTGGGAGATGACATAAGTCGTGTCGTCAGCAAAGAGAATTAGTTTCAGGTGTTGTGATACGTTGGGAAGTGGCACTCCAGTATCAAGTGGCGACGTATGGATTTTTTTTTATATTTTATTTAAAAAAACAGAATACACATTATACATGTATGCTATACTTAGGCTACATAAACAAAGATACGTGTTCCATTAAATAATGAAAACAAACAATTCCACATTCCCTATCCCAGCACTAAACTTGTACATAAGAAACACACGTTCAACTGCAAATGTGTGATTCCCCCTACAAAATGCCCAACCAGCAAACACAAACATACATGCAACTAAACTAAAGACAGCCCACACCTGAACATACAAGTGGGTTTATTATATCCATAAAATACAGCCAGTATCTTATAACACAAAAGGCAATATAATCCAAAGAATGTCACACTTATTTACATTGTATATGAAACTTTATATACAAAGACATTCTCATATAATCCAATTCATTGCACACTCATTAGTATTGTATATTAAACTTTGTATACAAAGACATAATACTAAACACCTCAAAAAGTACAGTATAATAAAGGTGACAAAATAACAATCTCCACATCTCATCACAGAGAAACTAAACACATTATTAAAATAACAAAGATTACACACTCACGTTACATAGCACATTATTATCAGTACATTTGGTTCACGACGTAACTATCACGCCCGCATGTCCTTTGTATTTAAACAACCACCAGGCCTAATAATACATTAGACATATCCCAAATTTAACATATCCATTACAAACAACAGTAAACCAGTTCACAATACTGCCTGTGTAGGACCGTATACTTTTTCTTTTAACAAGCTTCTTGCTCAAAATGCCATCCTTCCACTCCCAACCAAACCGGCCAACTCACACCTTAACACATGCACGAATTAAATCTC